CTTGGCGCTGTGAGTGTCACATAATACGCTCGTAGCCCACGTAGGATGCTCGTAGCACATATTTTTGCGCTCAAACGCGCTCACGCCACGGAGGTAGGGCAGCGTGAGCGTGAGCGTCAGTGTGTTTTTACTATCTGTCATTTCATTTGTTTATTAATTGTCAAATTCTTTATAATTCCGCAAAAATGGCAAGCTGTAGATCACAATTATTTTTTAATATTGATATTGATATTAATTAATTTTAAATTTCAATTTTAATATTACTATTAATTAAGCATAAGCAACCAAATTTCATTTATTTATTAATGTTAAATTCTATATAATCCCGCAAAATGCCAAGTTGTTATATCACATTTATTTTTTAATATTATATTAATATTAAATAATTCTAAATTTAATTTTAATATTACTATTATTAAGCATAAGCTAACCAAATTTCATTTATTTATTATTGTTAAATTCTATATAATCCCGCAAAAATGCCAAGTTGTATATCACATTTATTTTTAATATTAATATTAATATTAAATAATTCTAAATTTTAATTTAATATTACTATTAATTAAGCATAAGCTAACCAAATTTCATTTATTCATTATTGTTAAATTCTTTATAATCCCGCAAAAATGCCAAGTTGTATAACACAATTATTTTTTAATATTAATATTAATATTAATTAATTTTAAATTTAATTAATTTTAAATAATTTAAATTTTAATTTTAATGTTAATATGAATTAAGCATAAGCAAACGAAATTTCATTTATTTATTAATTGTTAAATTCTTTATAATCCCGCCTGAATGATCCGAAAGTAATAAAATTTACACAATTACCGTTACCGCCAGTTGCCGCCATTTTGATGCTTATTGACGCTCACAGTTTCCAAAACGAACGGATTTGAGTTATCGATTCTGAGCGCTTATCGGCCAAGTCGAACGCTAAAAATTCGTGCTTATAAGCGTGAGCGCTCACAGCGCGTAAGCGTCCAAGTCGAACGCACCCTATATCTACGTATCTATGGATTTTGCTCCCTGCTTAACGTCACAAATAATGGCATCCTAAACAATATGATAATATAATAATAATGATGGCATTTCTCGTTAACAGATATATTAATATAGCGATTTGAATAGTATTAATTTATGAATATTTTTCAAAGTGATACTTTTTATATTTGCTGTAATAAAAATTATTATTATGATAACTTATATTATGAAAGGAAATATATTTAAACTTTTAATTGATTACCCAAGAGGATATTGATTTGTATATATCTACTTGAATATGAATTTGAACAGCTAACATTATCTTCAAATTATTGGTTACTAGCAAAAACGTCAAGATGTCTAATTACGTGTTGAAAGTCAAATCAAAAGAAGGACAGCATATTTTAAGAGATCTCAAATCTTCCATGACTCTGGGCGATCTTTTACTGAAACTTTCATGTTGTACATCGATATCTAAACACAATTTGCAAATTTTATCGGGTTTTCCGCCTAAAGCATTAGATTTATCTGATGAGAGTAAGACTTTAAAGGAGAGTGATTTGAATTCAGGAGATACTGTTATTGTTGTAAAAATATTGAGAGTGTTAGTGAATGTTCATTGATCAATATAAATCTGTTCCTGGTGTGCTGATGAAGAAAGTGGTGCCTGCTGATAATTCTTGTCTTTTTACTAGCATTGGTTTGTATTGCTTTTATTTTTAGCACAGTTATGTACTTAATTTATTTTTAATGAATTTTAATTATGTAGTTTTAATTAATTCTCGATACATATATAATGGTTTATTATAATTTATTTTCCAAAATGAGATAAAACAATTCTTTGCTCGATTTCTAATTGGCTTCAAACGATTGCTATTATTTTGATTAATTTAATAGCGTGTGGCAATTTTAAACATTGCAAATCGCTTCAGGCTGACACAAATTGTGCTTATAGTTTATATATTTTATTTAGACTTATTTTTTTAAGTTTTACTGTGATAATTAAATCCTGACCTATGATTTTAATCTAATATTTTAATTCAGTGTCAATTGTTACACATTGACTTACATATAATATAGTCTGCTGTTTTATCTGTGCATGTTGTTGATTTGCATTGTCTGTTACCTTAATAGTTGTACGTATTTTGTATGCGAACATGTGGACTCAACAAATATTATTCTGTGGAATACTAGATCAATTTTTTTTAATCGATTATAAGTGGTTGGGAGTCTTTATATGAAAAATATACTATCTATTCAGTTATAACTATATTTGTTTTTTGAGGAATGTCATATACTACAAATTAACTTGTGATAGATAAAACTTAAATTTGCTCTTATATATACATATACAAGAACAAATGTGATAGGTAGCCAAACCATTTCAATATTGGATATTCTTGACTTAATTCACCAATTGATTGTCATTGACTTATTATACTTTTTGTGAGTGACAAGTTATTTGAAAATGGTAAATATTTGAATAGAATAATTGAATCAAGAGATACCATTTGAAAGAATATTTTTTTCTTCAAATATCCTATTTCAAACGGTAGGTTCAATAATATTGCACCTGATTTTTTTCAGAAATAATTGCATGCCAGTGCATAACTTTGATACATTCAAGTTCTGAAGCAAAATGATTATTCAACCAATTTTTATTTGCAAGTAATATGATGGCTTTCCAGATATACCCAGTGAATTTTAAGAATTCAATAGAATAGTAAACAAAATCTGCGACTTCGACATATGGTCGATTGATTTGAACGATATTAGATTGCCAGGTAATGACTATTATATCTTGAAAAGTATATTTCATAACATGCTATCTAATTTTGTCCATACAATAGCTTGTTTACATAGCTATCTATAATTTATATAATTGGCTTGTAACCTGGAAATGTACCTTCAATCAAAGCATCTTTATTAGTTACAATTATAGATAAGGAAGTCTCCAATGTCACGAAAATTGTATTGAAATCAGGTTCAAGCATTTAAATTGTTCTATTGTTACAAGGCATGATTTGCTGATTTTCGTAATTTTGTAAATACCGCATCTCTAAATTCTTCTGAAGATACACTCAAATCTAAGTTATGTCAAAAAATATAAATTAAAAACTTTTTTCTTATGTGATTTTCACCTATTTATTATATATCTTAATTATTCCTGATCAAACTAATTATTTGTTTGAATATTGATATAGTATTTAAAAGAAGCACTGCATCAGTTAGCAGTTAGCATTCTGAATATTAAATTATAAGAGAAATTCGAAAATGAATTATTAGCATCATTATACTTGTAATTTTTATTTAGAAAATCAATTGAGTGTAACAAAAAATAATTTTATAATGAAAATGCTCAATTTTCCATTATTATATATTTTTCAATACTCAATACTGAGATATTATATACTCATTTATTTTTATCATACCATTTTGATAAGATTTATGAATAAAATATCATGAATCCAATTTTTAACTTCCAAAAATCAAAATCATATTACGGAAATACTTATTGTCATGAAACTTTTTAAATGTCCTGTTCTTTTATGGTCATTGGACACTGTTTTTATATATTTGTGTATTCTCATCAAACTCTTATTTTTAGTGATATTATAAA